ATGTTTCCATTTCTTTTGCAAACAAGGAATGGAATATTTTTCTAAAAATATATATATATTTTTATATTAACATCCAAAAACAAAAAAAATACTTTCTGCCAAAAAACTCTGCAATTTCTAGCCATGCCTTACCTTTATCTAGTAAAAACCTACCCTTTGTGAAAGCTTCAGTTTAAAATTCCAGAGGATAGGTTTTACCTCTACATTAGCAATTAAAAGTTCCTCAAACGTACAAATATATTGGCATCGACATGCTCTGATTGTGTCGAGTCATCCTTTCTTGTGTAAAGGACAAAAATATGTGATTTAATAAAACATCTTCAATATAAATAGAAAAATGGTATCACGGGATCATAGCCACATAATACAACCACTAGCAAAATGCATAAGATTACGCTTGGTGTCACTGATCATGTGATACCATTTTTGTATACTTACTAAAATGTTAACTTTTTATAGAGATTATAATACAACCACAAGTAAAATGAATAAGATTGCACTCGATGTCATTGATGCTATCATCAAAAGTTATGTGAATTTTAGTATATTGGGGGACATATAGACAAGCTAAATGCTTACTGTGTATCAGTTTCAGTTTCGAATGTTTCGACAGAGTATAACAAACGAACGAGTAGCGACAGCAAGCGTCGGAACCTTTGATGTTTGATGTTCCAATTTTAGCCGCCGGCATTGAAGGTGATCCTGACTAAATACACTGCTGAAAACGTGAACTATGTCGAATACAATGTAAAAAACTTGAAGTCGACTCATAGTACACTTTATAATACATGGTTAAATGTACTTACCGATCGCATTTTTACGTTTCTTAGACCGTGAACGCTACTGGTTGCGCTAACGAGCTAGGGAATGTACTGCAGGGCCCCACTCCGTTTCCTAGACAGGGGCCGCAACGCCACCGACACCGACGTGCCTTATTATTTCGCGCGTTTTTGGCACGCTGATGCTTTGACTGGCCAGATTTATTCATTAGCTATGGTGCCAGTGAGTCGTCCACGTGCAAGTTAGAAGTGTTATTTCGCCTAGTTTGTTTGTAATACGAAAATAGGCTTAACAATATATATCAAGGCGGAAAAGATTCTGTAACTGAAGTTATAAAAACGTTTGATTGTAATAGCAGAATAATTAATATCGATCAAAACAAAGTTATTCTGAGAACCAACATCGAAAGAGATATAGATATTACTGCAAAAAAATTGGATTAAAAACTTTTCTAAAGCTACTTTTACAGAATGGATTGTAAACAGAACTTATCCTAAAATAAAAAACTGCAGTATCGAAAAGATTGGATTTGTCAACACAATGCTAAAAATAAGGAAAGAAAAACAAGCAGCGTTAGGGAAAGAAACAGGAACTGCGGCGCCAAAATCTTTATCAAGGTTAAAAATGAAAACAAATTTTCAAGATGCAGGGATCCGTTGCTTAAGGAAGGTCTAAACGCCATTGTAGAAGTAAGTTTGTTTGAATGTATATAGACAATATAACGTATAATAATGTATATAGATAATATAACAACAATATTATTTAAATAACTTTAGGTGCATTTTACGCATAGCCACAGAGTTACGGTGGCAGAAGCCTATAGTTATCTACGAGTAAGCTCGTCTACTAAAGATCAATTTTTGAAGTACTTCAGTGAAGGATTGACTCCTAGCCAAGCCAAAATTTTTTTTATCACTTGAAGTGGTAGCCTAATGGCTACCACTTCCGACACGACGGCGACGGCTTCATTTCCTTTTTCGAAGCGAACGACTTTCTCAAGTCTATTTTGGATACATTTGGAATAATCAACCGCGTTAACATCCATCACAGGCCACATCTTTCGATTTTTTCGATTCAATGGCCTTTGGGATCGAAGGCGAAGTTAAGCATTCCTTGAGAAGAGGACAAAATGTGTTTTTATTCAACACTGTGTTTATATTTTCTGCTTTCGAGTGCCACTCCCGTATGGGTAATGAGTGGCACTCAGTATATAGCGGCTTGAAAACACTGAAGGCAGGTTGTTGAGTATTATATATATATATATAGTTATATATATATATATATATATATATATATATATATATATATATATGGGTGCAGTTTGGCGGAAGGGCGTACAAAATAATGCCATTTTTATCGCACCACTTGCATAAATGCCATATCAGATGTGATGCCCGTCAATGAACAATATTTCTGGTTTCGGAGTGTTATTGTCTTATAGCCATTTATCGACACCATTTACAATACATTCAAAAAATACTTCGCTTCTCATCCACCCCCTCCACCCGATGCAATATGGTTTTCGTAAAAATCGAGGTACACTGGACCACTTAGTAGGTATGGAGATGGATATTCACGAAAACTTTTTACACAAAAAGCATTTAATAGCTGTTTTTCTAGATTCTCCGACCAGGTGTAAAAAGTAGGATTCTTTGATTTTACGTCAACGCAACAAAAAGTGTAAAAACTAAATTGCCTCAAGTAGAAAGCGTCTTGGATGGGGGTCTTCGGTAAGGGATGAACTTGTTGCAAATCAAAGCAAAATGTCTTACTCTTATCAGGAATTTCATTGATCAGTTTGTAGAACGCATTAGCTCTCAGTTTATGTATTCTCAATTCTGTAATCAGCTTTGCTTTGTTCTCAGTATTTGGTTTTATAATATTTTTAAAGTTTATGCAAGTTCCACAGACATCGGGTGCAGGCGACGAAAACCCAACGTTGAATTCATTGTAGAAAATTCTTTTGAACATTGATTTTGTCGCACGGAAATTGAGATGCGCATCGTTAAACATTTTCCATAGCTTTTCTAAGTTCAACTGACAGGAGAGGTACACACGACTTACTGCGGTTGTAGTGGCTTTCACTTGCTGGCAAGTTATTCAAAAAATCCCGAATTTTTAGCTTTTTGTCCAAATTTTTGTGAGCATAACGATCCCCACCACCATTTTCTTTAGGAACGTCTCCATCTTGCAGGGTCCTCAGTATAGCCTGGGTTCTGGTTTTTGAAACACTAAAGGCTGAAGCAAAAAACTGTCTACAAACTGACACCATAGAAAATTTTCGTCCACGAGAAACTCGGAAAAGGTAAGAAGCAATCATCATTTTGGTCTTTCTTTTTCCCTTCATTCACACCATCCCTTGGCCCCTTCCTTTTTGGCAGACGAAGAGACACAAGATGACATAATTTCTGGAAAATTTTGTTTGGTATCTCGAAAAACTTTTGTCTTGCTAGTAAAATATCAGACGTTTTTACGAGGGCACATTGCAAGGACTTTGTGTTATGAGTACACGGTCTCACAAAACCCCTTAAGTTAGTATTCTCATCAGAATACCTATAACGATAAAGAAATACGAGGTTAGATCTTGGCTATAAATAAATTTAAAAAAATACCTTTGTCGTTTCAGAATATCGGCTTTCGAAATTTTAGGCTGTTTTTTCCTACTGCCAACATTAATATTCTCCACTCTGGTATCCATATTAAAACATCTTCACTGCAAAAACTTTCACAAAGATCAAAGATAAGCCGACAAACAAACGCCACACGTTCAAAAAAACAAAACAAAACACAGTTGATAGAACGAGGTTATGTCGCAAGTGCATTTTAGTGATGTCTTATTTTATTTTACTCGATACAAATAATAATGACCGATCGATACCGAAAAATAGTTCAATGTGGACTTGTTTGTTTTTGTCTTAAATCGGTATTTACCCATAAGGAATACTAGTGGACATGTGTCATGAAAAAGATAAAGATAACATTTTTTATATAAAATACTGAAATAAAGTACAATTCATTTAATTTCTTTAAAATATATAGCCATTTCATAATAATAATATATATTTCATAATAATAATAATTTTCAAAATTTATTTCATCCTGAATTTCCAAATACTGTTTTCTTTCTTCAGGATGATTTCTCTTTATGTGAACATGCACAGTCATATAAGAGGGTTGATTTGGAAAAATTGTAGGCCCAGCATTTTCTGTAGGTTTTGGGCGTGACCTAGTTAGAGTTAATATTGTGACCTTTTAGCCGAATTCTCCCTTATCACATGGCATTCTGCAAAATGCTTCTTACAAACAGCAGAAGTATAGCATTTGTTAGTGAAACCTTTTTCGTGATGGATAGCAGATATCCATTTCTTATGTTTTTTGGGGTCCTTTGGGGAAGATAACGTAGAAACAGATCCTGAGGACTTATTATAATTGATGCTACAACAAGGCACAGAACAATGTCGCGGCATTTTTTATTTCACAAAGTAAAAATAAATAAACGAAAACTGTTTACCTAAAAATATACGTCACTTACGTTGGTTTAACACTATACACTAACACTAACGCTATTAATTATGTTTTTATATCAATTCCCCCACTTTTTCCTAGCCCGGACACAGTTTTTTTAATTTTACCGAAAGTATGTTTTTTTTCGCGGGTACGATGTTATGAATCGGATCTAGATAGTTCACTATTCATTCAAAGTACACTCAAAATTATTTAGTATAATTTTATTAGCATAGAAACGCGTAAAAACATAAATTTGTTGCGAAACTAATGAAACCAATAGGTTTGTTTACGACTACTAATTCTCGACCACTTCGGTAGAACTGTCAAAACAGTCAGGCCTTAAATATTAGCACAGATAACACATAATCCAGATGGCTCCTTACGTGTTAAAAATTGTCACCCTAATTTCACTCCAATTTGGAAAAATATTGGAGTGACATTTGAATAGTCTGAAATTTTTAGATTTCTTTTCTCACTTTTTTGGGAGGTTTTGCTTCTTTTGCACAGATGTCGCTTGCACTTCAGTTGCGTGGTTGCCAAACGTTATATCGAAATATATTTCATTTCATTATGAATATATAAAATTAAAGGTATACCAAATTAAAAATTATGTAATTTATAAACATGAAATAGATATGTTAAATTAATACATAAATATTTAACTTAATACGTTTATTATTATCTTATTATCTATTAATTTATCGTCCCACGTCATTTACCAGTTGCCTAATTACGAAAAGTTTCATATGACATTAACCTCAAAAATGATCTTTGAAAACAAACAACAACAAACAGAGCAACAAATGAACAAATAACTACATAATGACTGATAATGATAAGTGATAAAAATAACTTTAATGATATGAAGGCTGATGAAGGTAATTATAAACATTATTTTGAGTTTGTTTAATAAAATATAGGATACTATATATAACTAAGCAAAATCAAACAGTTTTAGACAACCAATACAAGATTTAGAACTTGACATCGTGATAAACAAATTGTACATTCAGCAACTCGTTTAAATATTATAGGTAAGTAATATTTTCACAAAACTAAACATTTTAGCATAAAATCACAGAAAATATATAGAATATTACCTATGATAAAATGTTAAATACTGATGTATATTATTCTAATCACATTTAAATTTAAACTCAAAATTTTCATAAAAAGAAAATGATAATTTTTCGTAAATATAAAGTAAATAATATTACATATTTCAGGTTGATTGACGAATACTCTACAGTTGATTAGAGCCCATGATGATGCGAAGATAATTAATATCACCTAACTTCAAGAAACCAGCGTAAAGAAGTTTACATTCACAACTCATCTAACCATTATAGGTAATAATTTACAAAATTAGTCATTTTTGATTATAATATTAAGGTACTTAGGTACATTTTTATCTTCTAGTCAGTAATGTCGTCATAATTTAAATGAACTCACAGATAGCAATGGGGCACTGCACCGAAGCAGTATTACAAAATATGTGAAATAAAACTGTAATACAAATTGCTCTATAAAATTTAATAGAAATAAATTTATTTATGAAAATTAAGTTATGAAGTTTTATTTTTCCTAGGAAAAAAATAACATTTATATTTTGATCAATTTAGAACATTACAGTTAAAAAAATATGTGTTAGAATAACATATTTTTAATAAAATTGCAGCTTTTAATTTTTATACTTTTTTGCTTTTATATCAATAAGAACTAACGTAAGGAACAATTCATATTTATACTATGAAAACACATGCATATTTTTTGATGTTTTTAAAACCAGTGAATGATGTTGAAATATACTACACCTATTATTCTTATTAACTAACTTTAATTACAAACTTACACATTATTGTCATTGGAAATAAATTAATTTGGATATTCTATTTGTTTAGAAACTTTTTTACCTATTGTAGTTTTTTTAAAACCTACTTGATTTAAAACAAAAAAATGTCACCTGTTGTGACAAAATAAGGTCTTTTTTACTAGAAAACAATCTAGTGAGCTTTTCTAATAATACTTTATTTGATATACCATATGATCGAAAAAACGGCGTCAGCGATGGCTATGAAATGAAGATCGCTGTCATTTTAAATGTAAATTTATATGGGAAATGTCATCGATTGCCATTTCCCAGCCAACTGGACGCCGTTTTTTTTTGATCATACGGTATAATATGTATTCCCATCTGTTAATCTTTTTATTTTAAGGAAGATTTAGGAAGGGTAGCTTAAAACATGTTTGTCGATCAATTATCTTTATATGTCGTTTGTAAAAATATTTTACAGTAGTAGAAAATAAAACTGTTTTTAAGGCGAACAGCTTCTTTGCTAAAATATTTTTTTGGTCCCAATACATAATGATTTACATTTTATTTTTAACTTCAAATAATGAATTTAATGGAAAAATTGCAAGTCATAAAAACGTTCTAAATATACAAATCTAACCATTTTTTCCATACCGTTGCTCCAGTTTTTTGTCAAATTAACGAATATTAGAAATAGTTTATTTCAACCTCTTCAGCTTATTTTAAAAATGTTGACAAATAACAAAGAATACACCCCTTAAAGTTTCGCATTTGTCTTGATATACTCTGTTAAGACAACAGTAAATAACTTGTAATATAACTTCGAAATATAAATTTGAAATTAAAATAATGATTTGTTCATAAGTGATTTACGTTTTATTAATTTTGATTTTTTTTTCTTAAATTTAATTTAAAAGTGATTTACGTTATTTATTAATTGAAACATTTAAAATTTGAATATACGTTCAAATTTTTTTTTTACAATAAATTTGTTTATGATAAATAATTTTATAATAAAAATATGACCGAATTTCCTGGAAAGTTTGCCAAATTTGTACATATGAAAACCTAGCTTTACCACTTATCACAGAAAATCTCTATTCCTTCCCTTATCACAGAATAATACAGGAACGAACCATATGCGACAAAGATAGAAGATTTAGATATGTCGTTACTATACCTATATGGTAATGTGGTACGTACGTGTGGTATGTCGTTACTATACCTATATGGTATACTATACCTATATGGTAATCTGTGATGGTAATATACTATATACCTTTGACTGTCTTTGATTAGAACTGTGTGATTAGTGATAATTATTATTAAAATGTCTGGTTATAAGTGTCAATTTTACAATTGTGAGATTTCTCGGAAATCAGGTGTACATGTGTTTAAGTTTCATGCGTCAAGAGATCCTAATTTATGTACAAAGTGGATAGAAAATTGTGAGTTCATTCATACAGAATTTTTTTGCACATTTTGTATGTAAAAATACGGCGTTAAGTTACCTTAGAAATTGTGATCGATGGCTTTTACCATATACCGTATGATCGAAAAAAAAACGGCGTCAGCGATGGCTATGAAATGAAGATCGCTGTCATTTGATATGTAAAATTATATGGGGAATGTCATCGATCGTCATTTCCAAACCAATCGGACGCCGTTTTTTTTTCGATCGTAGGGTATAATTTAACACATTAAGAGTTGTCCATCGTTATATTTCTATATCTATGCAAAGTTTACGATGGATAAATCAAGTAATATTAAGTGGATACAAATTATAAATGAATCAGTGAATATAAACTGTTATAAATTATAAGTAGGTAATGCAGTTAGTGAATATACCGTACGATAGAAAAAAAAGGCATGGGAGTGGGCTTGGAAATGAAGATCGCTGTCGTTTAATAGGTATGTAAAATTATATGATAAATCTTATCGATTGTCACTTCCAAATCAACATGACATGCATCTGTACATCATTAATCTCACGACTAGAGTTTCCTGAAATCCCGAACTCCCAGGATCCCGGCGGCGTGTATGTTTATCTCCGAAATCCCGATATTAAATTCCGGGATCCCGAAAATCCCATAAAATTTAAATGTCCAATCTAAAATGATTCGACTTTATACACCTTTCAAAGATCAACAAAACAAAGTAAAATTCATATTTAGTAAGTAAAAAAATGCAGTTTCAGACAATAGTTTGGTTTGGTTTGGTCGAGTTTTGTTAACACTGTCTAGTCTGGGCTTTTTATTTGATATATGTTAATCAAATAAAAAAGCCCAGACTAGATAAAATCAGGAGCTAACTAATAGAATCATATCAATTCTCTCTGATGTAGGATAAGTTTCTATTTTCGGAAAATTTCTTAGATTTTTTTTTGTTTGAACTGACGAACTGACCCAAAATGATAACTAGTTGCTAAAGTTGAACTAATTTGACAGCTATGTTGAAGTAACGTCAGACATATCACAGCCACCCTAGATTTTATCAAATAATAAAGATCTATTCACACTAAATCATAGAAATGAAAATATCTAGGAAAATCTTTGTTTGAGGGGTAGGCCGGCAACCTTAATAGTATTTGGAAGTGACATGAATTTCCCATTGAATATCGGAATAATATTCTGGGTGATTCAATTAAACTAAAGGAGTTATACAGGGTGGGTATTAAAGGAGTTATACAGGTTATACCAATGTTCAGCATTAATTTTGCCCCACCCTGTATAACTTTATGGGTCAGGTTTTAATTTGATTTAAAGTGCAATAGAGTAAATTCCAATTTAGGTAGTTTTTCTTGAAATTTAAAAATTGTTCTTCAAAATCTTAAGTAAGTCTAAAACCTTACATTTCAGTCATATACTTCCCTAATAAAACACACCTTTATTTTTCTCTTAGAATCTAAAAATTAATTAATAAAGGGGGTATTCCGTTACAAAAAAACACAAATTTGATGTGTAACTTTTTTTGGGGACACCCTGTAGAACTCTCTATATTTTTAAAACGTGCGCAGAATTAACTTACATATGCTTACAAAATTTCATTTCAATACGAACTGGTCGTTCTCCTTGGAGCCTCCGAGTCGTATGAGAGGCGCCACCCTGTATAATTTTTATATAGTTGCACTTAAATAAACACAATAAATTGTTAGTTAAAACTAACAGTCCTACGAGTGTGGAATTTTGTACAGGTGGATTTTGGACATTCATCTCCTAAGAGAGTGAAATAAGGGATGAAAATTTGTGTATGTTAAAATCGGGTTTAGAAGTATGAAATTCTGTTTGTTCCTTATGTAACGTAATTTAGCAATAACAAGCAATTTTTTTTTCAGAACGTCCACACCTCATTTCACCCCGTTAGAGGGCGAATTTCCAAAAATTGTTCCTGAGTGCTAAATTACGTTACATAAGGAACGTCTGCGCAAAATTTCATACTTCCAAAACCGATTTTAATGAATTTTTGTACAAATTTTCATCCCTTAATTCTTATGGGGCGAATGCCTAAAATTCGCTTCTGAGTACTCACTTTCATCACTTGAGGAACCTCTGTGCAAATTTTCATACTTCTAGGACAGATTTTTTTTCAGAAAGTTCACCCCTCATTTCACCCCCTTAGAGGAAAAATTTCGAAAAATTGCTTCTTAGTGCTAAATTACCTTATATAAGGAACGTCTGCGCAGAATTTCATACTTCTAAAACCGATTTTAACAAATTTTTATACCAATTTTCATCCCTTATTTCTTAGGGGATGAATGTCCAAAATTCGCTTCTGAGTACTCACTTTCGTCACTTAATTAACAATTTCCAAATTTCAAACTCCTCGGACTAATTTTAAAAAAGTATGCAAAATTTCACCTTCAGTTTCACCCCTTAGTAGAAGAATTTCCTAAAATCGCTTTGTATAATCGAACTGTTAAGTTACGCTACTTAAGGCACCTCTGTGCAAAATTTCGTAGTCCTAGGACATGCTTTTTTTGTATACAAAAGTACCCCCCATATCACCCCCTTAACGAGCGAATTTCCAAAAATTGCCCTTTAGTGTTCAATTACGTCAGTCAAGGAGCACTCCTGAAAAATTTCATACTCTTAAACCAGATTTTAACAAATTTTTATGCAGCTTTTCATCCCTAATTTCACCCCCTTAGCGGTCGAATTTTCAAAAAATCCCTTCTTAGTGCTCATTTACATCACTTAAGGAACCTATGTGCCAACTTTTATTTATTACTATATAGATAACCTTTACCCTTATTTTCAGCTAATGAATATTAAGAGACAAATAATAAAAATAAAATCTAAATTATAAATTTCATGGCTATAAATAGCATACATATGCATCTAGAAATTCTGACTTTCAAATATCCACTGCGACTAGTATTTTCATATCCAATTGTCTAGTATTAAAGTCCGAATATACATTTTCCCTGGGTTTGACCGGGAATTTGCTTATAAATGTGA